CAGCGATTTTCATAGATACATTTTTTGACAGGCTCGTAATTCGCCGGAGGCTTTTGGCTAATCACTCTCTACAATGTCCCAATCCTCGGTCAGCCATCACCGTGATACTACCAGAAGGCAGACAACTGCCAGTTGGAGCTTCTTTACAGAACATCAGTGCAAACACGAGTCAATATTTCATTCAAGACAGATACACTGACAAACTCATTAAAAGTTATTTGTTTATTCAATAATTCTAATCAAATACATGTATAATTCGATTCGTATGTAGGGAATTGGATTTTAAGTATCATACCTCTAATCAACCAATGACCGTTCAATTTAAATGCCTTGCAAGAACCAATGACTTTTTAAAAATATTGTTTTGTCAGGTGCGCCCTGTTTGAGGGCATGCATCACCTGGGTCAAAAGTAAGACTAACATGTCTTTCGTTTACTGCTTAGCGGCAGTGTACCTGTGGTTTTATTCTTGTGTGTATTTGGATGTTCTAATCTTGATTTTTTTTCCAGTGATTTCTCTGGGTGCAATCCAACTATAGTAGGTTTGTCTTGTTTGCTTGAGATTTGCAAGAATTTGAGCTGGCCAACATGTTAGTATTTTTCTTGTGGTTGATTACTGGTATGTATATTTCCCATTTTTGAGCCATGTTTTCAACTTTGTTTATCATTTTCATATAACAATCTCGTCATATGTCATATTGCCCTTTAAAAGAATTGTGGGAAGAGCCAAATGTTAAAATCGGCTTTCACCTCTGCTGTTTTCAAGCAACGAGTTATTTTTTTTAAATTATGGTTATATTGTTGGACTTTCACTTAGAAGATTGTTTTGAAGATTTTTGTTACTGATTTTCTATCCCATAATACTTTGCAAAATCCAATATGGTGTTAACACATTTCCCTCCATTATTTAATCCTGGGTACTGTGAAAGCCAGAGTGGGTGGAACGGAAATCGTAGAGCGCCATCAGTGTTAGAAACGTGACACGGAACATGTAAACCGACGCGTGGCCTGAAGCAATTCCTAGCTATCATCTTCCACCACGATCACATTGTGCCCCCCCCCCCCCCCGTCGTCACATCGTTACAAACCGAACTGGCAAAGTTATAGTACATAACTAATATACTGAAACGATTAAGAATGGGCTACTACTATAAGACTGGTTTATGTAACCCAAGTGAAATTGACTTTGTTTTCTGAACTGAGTGAAGATTTACCACTGAACTCAGTATGTCCTACCTAAACGTTAGTTACCATTAAATTGCAGCGGTCGTCCCGTCGTAAATGAACTATATAATTTACACGCGTTGTATACGTCGCTATGAGTCCCATATCGAACAGGACGCTGCGTGACGACCACCGCTCTTTACAGTATACCTAAATTATATCCATCCAGTCAGATAGCGTGTTTGTTCAGTATTTTTCATTACCGTGAAACAACAATAATTGCAATGCGAAGCTATACGTTTACTTCAACGAGATGCTGAATTGTTCAAGTTAGGGACACAGAGTTACTCTTGCGAAACCACGTCCAAATTGTAACTCGATGTGAAATTGACAATGAGGTACACCGGTAACATAGATGTTTTGTTTTGTTTAACGTTCAAATTTAGTAACTCAAATTTAACTTAATCATCAGTCAACCGAACTTCGAACTACGGGAAATATAGAGTTCAAAATCCTGGGGTATTTTAGCTGCACAATTAATGCTCATAAACAAGTTTAGTCATTATTACTTATACATGAATGCTCAAAAACAGTGAAATCGCATAAAACGACATGTGTCAACCATGCCACAACTTGAATATAAAGCGGCCCATTGGTGGAACAAGAAACAAGTTTGGCGCCCTCATCGGTCAGACACATTCTGCTCATTTGGCGTAACAGATATAGCGCCCAGACTAAATGGAGTGATGTTTCGCCCCAGTATTGGGCTCATCTCAATTACAAAATATGCAACATATTACATTGTAATGTACCGAATACCGAAACCTAGGTTAATTATTAACATTTGAATTTATAACCTGTAAAATCGAATCGTAATTTAATAATACTGTATACTCAACCAACTTTACGCATTCAAATAATAACCAAAATCCCGCGTGTGCACTGTGCCATTTGGAAAAGTTTTTTTTTTTTACAGTTTCACAATATAAACTAAAACCAAAACTGGATTTCTCATAACAAGAATTAATGTAATGTTGACAAAGTCACAAAATTTCTATTTACATTTAGTATTTTGCAGCTTGAAGTCGTGCGATAGGTTTTCCCATTTTATTTAGGCTCGGTCGTTAATTCCGAAGTTCCACCCAGTGATTAAATTTAGTGCCAATTTAATGGACACGTCCTGCGACACACAAACTTACTTCAACTCCGCTGTCGACCAAACACACGTTTCCATCATGATAAACGTAGGATTAGTCGGGTATGGTATTGATTTAAGAAACAGCATGCACGTACTACCATGGAAATAGTAATTGGAACTGACCAAATCGCCGCCCCGGCAAATGACCTTTGATTTGAAATACAGGATATAGCATTCACGTACA